CCAGGGGGTCAGCAGAGGCTCAAGGGGGGGCCCCAGAGGGGTTTTAGGGGGGGTGGGTCCCAGGGGTCAGCAGGGTGACAGAGGTCAGGGGGCAGTGACAGGGGGGTCACCCACCCCTGGGAGGGTCCCAGAGGCTCGGGGGGGGTCCCGGGGGGGGGTCCCAGGGTCACCTTGCAGGAGGGGTCGAGGTCCAGGGCGCGCTGATAAACCTCCATGGCCTTGGTGTAATCGCGCATGGCCTCGAGCGCGGCCGCCTTCCGCGTGTAGCCCTTGACTGGGGACATGGGGGGACATCGGGGGGACACGGGGGGGACACGGGGACAGGCAGAGGGACACGAGGACACAGGGACAGGTGTTCAGGTACAGGTGGAGCGACACAGGGACAGGAGGGGGACACAAGGACAGGTGTTCAGGTACAGGTGGAGGGACACAGGGACAGGAGAGGACAGGAGGGGTCGTGGGGACAGGTGGGGGACACAGGGACGTGGGGACACAGGAGGACACGAGGATGGGGGGGACACAGGGACAGGTGTTCAGGTACAGGTGGAGGGACACAGGGACAGGAGGGGGACATTGGGACAGATGGGGACACAGGGACGTGGGGACACGGGAGGGGACAGGAGGGACATGAGGATGGGGGGGGACACAGGAACAGGAGAGGACACAGGGACAGGTGTTCAGGTACAGGTGGAGGGACACAGGGACAGGTGTTCAGGTACAGGTGGAGCGACACAGGAACAGGAGAGGACAGGAGGGGTCGTTGGGACAGGTAGGGGGACATTGGGACAGATGGGGACAGGGGGATGGCAGGGACAGGGGGACACGGGGACAGGAGAGGACACAGGGACAGGTGTTCAGGTACAGGTGGAGGGACACGGGGACAGGTGGGGACAGGGGGATGGCAGGGACAGGGGGACACGGGGACAGGAGAGGACACAGGGACAGGTGTTCAGGTACAGGTGGAGGGACACGCGGACAGGTGGGGACAGGGGGATGGCAGGGACAGGGGGACATGGGGACAGGAGAGGACACAGGGACAGGTGTTCAGGTACAGGTGGAGGGACACGCGGACAGGTGGGGACAGGGGGATGGCAGGGACAGGGGGACACGGGGACAGGAGAGGACACAGGGACAGGTGTTCAGGTACAGGTGGAGGGACACGCGGACAGGTGGGGACAGGGGGATGGCAGGGACAGGGGGACATGGGGACAGGAGAGGACACAGGGACAGGTGTTCAGGTACAGGTGGAGGGACACGCGGACAGGCAGGGACAGGGGGACACGGGGACAGGAGGACACGGGGACATCGGGACAGGTGGGGACACAAGAGGGGACGGGGAGAGCAGGAAGGGACGCGCAGGCACAGGAGGAGGAGGATGAGGATGATGAGGGCAGGGCAGAGGAAGGGCAGGGCCTGTCCCCTCCTGTCCCCTCGTGCCCCCCACTCACTGAAGGTGGGCTCCAGCCGGATGCACTCCTCACAGTCCTGGGCAAAAACGGGGGGGTCAGGAGCGTCCCAGGAGCCCCAAAGAGCCCCCAGCGCCCCCTCTGTGCCCCCAAGTGCCCTTTGTCCCCAAAACCCGGCACCCCCGGGCCCTGTGTCCCCCCCAAAACTCTCCAGGACTCCCCCAGGACTCTCAAACCAATCCAAAATCCTTCCCCAAACTGGTCCCCACCCCTCAATCCAATCCCCAGCCCCCCAAACCAACCCTCAGGACCATCTTACAGCCCTCAAACCGCTCCAGGACCCCCAAAACCAGCCCCCAGACCCCTAAACCAACCCCCAGGACCTTCTTACACCCCTCAAACCGCTCCAGGACCCTCAAGACCAGCCCCCAGACCCCTAAAACAAACCCCAGGACCCTCTTACACCCCTCAAACAACCCCAGCACCCCCAAATCCAGCCCCAGGACCCTCTTACACCCCTCAAACCACCCCAGCAACCCCAAATCTGTCCCAAACCCCATCCTCAAACTGACCCCCAACCTTTAAACCAACCCTCAGGAGCCTCTTACACCGCTCAAACCGCTCCAGGACCCTCAAAACCAGCCCCCAGCCCCCCCAAATCCAGCCCCAGGACCCTCTTACACCCCTCAAACCACCCCAACACCCCCAAATCCAGCCCCAGACCTTGAGGGCGAGGGGGAACTCAAGCAGCTTGGTGTAGCAGGCAGCACGGTTGCTGTAGAGCCGCGCCTCGTGCGGGTTGCGCCGGATGGCCTCGCTGTAGTGCTTCATGGCCTGGGGGTAATCCCCTACAAAAAGAGACCCCTCCTCACTCTCAAGGGGTTCCCCAACCCCTCAGGACCCTCCCCCCCCCCCCCCCCCAAACCCCTCAGAGCACCCCCCCAGACCTCGCTGGAAGCACTCGTTGCCTTTGTTCTTCTCCTCCAGCGCCAGGTCGGGGTCGATGTAGGCCAAGCGCTCCTGCTCCTTCAGGATCTTCTCAGCCTGCAGAGCAGCAGCGATTTGGGGGTTCGGGGAGGGGCTCTGGGGGTCCCCCCCGCCGTCCCCGTGCCCCCCAGCGTCACCTGCTGACACTTCTTGAGCACGTCGGGCGTGCGGTGCTCGGCCAGGGATTTGTTGTAGAAGTGCACGGCGTCCTTGTAGCGCTCCTCGCGGAAATACGAGTTCCCGATCCGCGCGTACGCCCTGGGGGGCACGGGGAGGGTTTTGGGGAGGGGGGGAGCACCTGGAGGGTCTGGGGGGGGGGCACAGCAAACGCTTCAGAGCCCCCCCCCCAATCCCAAAAAAAAACCCCCAAACTCACTTGGCAATCTGCCTGTAATCCTCGCGGTTCTCCCGGCCCACCTCGATGGCGCGCTCGCACAGCGCCCGGCACCGCTCGTACTCGCCCGTCTCGAAGTACACGGCTGCCGAGGGAGAGGGGAGGGAGGGCAGGAATTTGGGGAGGGGGTTCAAAAGGTGGGGGGTGGTTTTGGGGGTTCGGGAGAGGTGGTTTTTTTGGGGGGGGGACAGACCTGCTTGGTTGGTGACGTAGGTCATGTTGGTGGGGTCCAGCTGCTCGGCGCGGGTGTAGTGCTCCAGCGCCGCCGGGAACTCCTTGCGCTTGTAGGCGGCGTTGCCCAGCTCCTTCTCCTTCTGTGCCTGAGGGGGGAACCCCAAAAACTGGGCTGGGACCCCCCCGAATCTACCCTCTGAACCCCCCCATGACCCAGCTCCTTGTTCTGCAGGGATTGGTGCAGGGGGATCCCCCAAAATCGGTTGAGACCCCCCCCAAATTTCTTGCCCAGATCCTCCCCACGTGAGCCGGCTCCTTCCCCCGCCGTGCCCGAGCGGGAACAGATCACCCTAAAACCGGCCCCTCACCCCAAAACCCGGCTGGGACCCCTCCCCAAATCCCAACTTCTCCTCCAGCACCCCAAAACCCGCCCTACAGCCCCCCTGAATTCCCCTCAACACCCCCAGAACTCCCCCCACCAACCCCTCGGGTGTGCGGGGCTGTGCCCCAAAGCCGTTTTGGGGAGCCCCCCCCCCCCCCCCCCCCCCCCC